AGTTCCTGTCAGCATTTGACAGCAATTTGCATTCTTCTTCCTGAAAAGCCAGTTTCTTCTGCTTGTGCACACAGAGAAAAAGGGCAAAACCCACAAGTATATCTTTTAAACCTGTAAAAAAATTGAGGGGGCAGGTGCAAAATCTTCAGTTATTTTGAGCTAACTCTTCTGAAAATAAAGAAATTAAAAAAAAAGAAAGCACTGATGGTGTTTCCATTTAAGGGAGGTTTAACATTAGGTGTGAGCTGCATAAAACAGAGTGAAGGAGTAAGTACTCTAACACATGCTTAGTGCCGCTGACTCCATCTCTTTGCTGCTGCTGTTGATGATGATATAAAGTGTGAATAAAAATGATAAATTTGCTTTTAAATAAAAGCACAATACAAGCTATTACAAGAAAAACAAGACTGAAACAAAGACCCTTCTTATACATTCAACTCAACCCTTGGGCAGCCAGGGGAAATTTTTTACATATATTGAAATCTAAATTTTTCCCATATAGAAATGTATTCTCAAGATAGCTTGACTGAAAATGCACTTTTAGTTCTAAAAAATGGATATAGAGAGTTAAAGTTGTTGTCACCAGTGAACTTGACGGTAAGCAGGAAACTCTTGTCTGTCCTTCAGTGCCAGAATTCATTACCAGCTACTGGTAATTATAAAAAAGGCTAAACAATGCTCAAATTAAGGGATAAAGAGAAAAGAAAGATCTTGCATACTCCACACGCAGTATTTTGCGAACAAATGCATATTTGCCTTTGAGAGTGGAAGATGTGGAGAAGCATCAGGGAAGAGAAATCAGGGAAGAGTAGTTAGGGGAACAGAAGGTAATTCAACTAAGTGTTCATTTCTACCACTAATAGTTTTGGGAAAAGCTTGGAGGCACACAACAGGCCACATCTTATATGCTAAGGAACAGCCCCGTGGTTAGATCAAAGAACTGACCCATTGTTTGAACCACTGGGAAAAACACAGTGTCTACATAAGTATTCACTGATATTAGCATCACCTATATAAATGCATGATTCTTTTGCAGACTCTGTAATTGAACAGGCATGTTTAAATGGTTTGTAAAATGTTCTAGCTGAACCACATTCACTTCCTACTCTGTTGCCAACAAGAGCAGTAGAAAATTATACCTAGGGGTATAATCAGAAGTACATACTAGAACAGTTTACATACACCTCTGTAAGACCCAGTTCAAACAATACTTGGATCAATGCAAGCCCACTAGGAAGGCAAATTTAAGGTCGGTGGTTTTACTCTGAACAATCTAGAAAATATACCTCTGCATCTCTGACATAATGAAATTACATCTTGCAAAGAACCTGTTAATAAAGTCATTTTTGAGTCTCCAAGACCTCAGAATTCAAGGCTCAGTAGGCTCCATTTTTTGCAGCCATGAGAAATCCATGCCTTTATATTACTGCTGCTGTCAGCTGCAGTGCTCTGAATCACACAGTTCTGGAGTTAGTTATCTTATATGAAAATGTCATTGAACATGCAAAGATCACTGTGAACCCTCAGGCACTATTAAGACCCATAACCATTACATTTAGCGTGTTAACCATTTAAGATAAACGGTAGTCTGTAGCTGCCACTTCAAGTGCATCGAATTAACTTTTAAGAACACAGTCTTTATTCTCTAAAATTTACATGATTTCACTATGCTTACAGAAATAGCTCATTCAAACAAATGTTATATACCAAAATTTTTCCATATTTCAGGTTCTAAAAGGGACTGAAGACTTTTCCACTTTTTCGATTCTTTTAAGAGAACTTCAGAGAAGCCAGAGGAGAATTTTACTTCATTAATGCGGTGAACTTTCACAATGCTTACTTTTTTTGACTGCTTAGGTAATATTAGATATTTCTACAATACACAGTACAGCAACTGCTGTCCTAAAACATACAGTTTTGGCAAATCGTAACCTAATTAGGAACTTTCTAATGGAGAATCTTCACTATCATAAAGATATGACTGGCCAGCAAGGGAATTGCTGTGATAAGCCTCTGAGTTGCTTTATATATAACACATGCAGAAATTTAAAATTAATTAATTGTGAGGAAAGTAGCATTTGCATTTATCTATTTGTTGGCCACCTTTAAAAATGACGCAGTACTTGTACACTGCATGGAAAATATTAAGAAAGAAACTGAGGCTGATCTACTTTTAAAGCAACGCTGAAAAGTATTTTTCGCATTTGAAAAAATGTAGTGATTGCATTTATTCATTAAAAATTATTCTCTCTCTCCATTTTTACATATCTAAGAAAAAGGTTAGTTTAGCTTAAGCTCCTCAAGCACAATAGTGCTAGAGTACTTGTCTGTCTGTCTTCAAAACACCTGTACCTGAACCTCTGTTTGCCACAGAGACAGGTAAGAAGTAGTATCAGAGAAAAACCGAGAGCAATATTGAGTATTTCTACTGGTGTATCTCTATGCATTGTGAAGCGAAAGGTTAAGAAAGTACTCTAATCCCACCTTTTAACAGAAAGGGAAACTGAGGCCTAAGGAGATTTAGCAGCTTTCTCAGTTCTGCAGCAAGTCTGGCAGAGTTCCCGGTTTGGTGCCTCATCTATTAGATCGCTACGAGGTATATTGAGCAATAATCCTCAAAGGCAAGGTAATTTCCTCGACTTGCAAAATTTCAAAATTAAAAGTTAAAATATTACTTTCTTAGGACACTTTGAATTGGGATCTGCTAGTGGAGCTAACTATAGAGCAGTAAGAATGTATCCCTCCAAGAAAAATGGAAGTAGCATAAAGTGAGAAACAACCTCTGTTGCTTGAATTTGTCCACCTTTTCCTAGACAATATAACAGAAAGCAGCATAAAAAACACAAACAGACAATTAGAAAGAAACATTATAATGGTACAAGTATGGAGGAGAACAGAGTGAGCGTATGGCAGAAATCTGAGGTAAGAAATCATTAGGAAAGACATCAGAGTAAGACTCTTCTTACTTGGCACAAGCCACTGATGCACATATCCAGCGACTCAGTGTAACATCGGGTGCCATCTAGAACCTTAGGCGCCAGCTCTACAACAAGAGTCGTTCCTTTGGCCTGGCACTTTAGCGAACACGGATTGTCAGGATCATTAGAGACAGGAAGCCACTCATAAAACTGTCCCTGGTACTTGACGTCATTATGAGCAGAGCACTGCTGGGCACGAAAATCACCTGCTTCTGGAGGGCAGTCCTAGACAAAAGAAAGAGAAAAAGGTCAGTAAGTTTGTTTAGGACAGGTAGTTACAGTATTGCAAAGCTGGTTGCACTTTATAGCATTTGGATGCAAGGACTTTGTCTATTTAGACAAACGCACTTACTGAAATAGCAGAGATCATTCCAACCACACATAGGTCAACCAGATATTTATACCTTTCTTTCCTTCTTTCCAAAGAAGTAATGGAAAACATGAAGACCATGGATAAATGGGCTTGGGACATAAGAAACGTGTTTACACATCTGTGGCTTAACCACAGAACCTGGCAGCCCTGAAACATACTTACTGAATCACTACCCACTTGTGCATGCATGTGGATATGCGTGTGCGCACACCCACCCTCCTCCAGCCATCTAGTCCTTTTTTGTTTGGAGAGAAGAGTAAAAAATCACTTCATTCAATTGTTTGTTTATTTAAGCATTCTTCACAAGCTTTTTCCCCCAGTGACCTAAATCAGATAGTAGAGCAACAAGACAACAGAAAATGCAACAAAAATGGTGTATTTCTTCAACCTATGAGAGGCAAGGTTTCGTAACTCACATAATCAGGTACGTATGATTTTGCTGGGTAAACCTCTAAAAAAACCATGTTGTTAATCTTCTGGGAGGTTTCTGAGACATATATACCCTACGCTGCATCAAATACAAATACAAACACCTTACTCCGTGCCATTCTCTGATAAAAAAGACAAAGACCACTCATGCTACTTGTTAATTTCTCTCACTGAGATGAGAATATAAGGCTTTTTTACCCACGGATACTTTCTTGCCATGATTTAGCATTGACAATCATGAGTCAAGTTCTCAAGAAAATAAACCTTCCAAATCATGCAATTTCAGACACAACAAACCTAAGTGCTCTTTTTATTTCCTTTTCAGTTTTTGATCCTTGAAGACTGGTATTTTCAGGTTTTTCAAGTTTTCCTCTGCAACCAACCACAAAGGCTAGAGGTTCATTGTTTTTTCAGAAGTAACCTGAATTTCCCACATAATTATAGGAATGCAGCTTTAGGAAAAGTGTTAGATATCCTGAGAACTGTGATAAAACAGCAAGTGTTGGCAACATGACTGTGTTAGATTATCAAGGCTCCACAGTCCTCCGTTTTGCTGCTGTAAGGAAATCTGCCCTTCATGGGAGCATTACGCTGTATTTATGGATGGGCATAAATGCGGATTATAGAATTGAGGGGAAAGTATTTTGCCATATATTAACACTACATAATCAGAGAATATTCTTGTAAGATTTTTGAATTCTCTGCTTGTCCTCAAAATAGCTCTTTTACCCTATAGAAATTTTAACAACTTAACAACCTAATTCACAGACTTATCTTCCCTGCTAGGAAAGCTGTGCTGCTATTGAAGCAAAATACCTCTGCTCTGTTTTAAAGGATGACCTCCGTTTCCCAGATCTTTCTCTACATCTTAATTCACTAACTCTTTGATGCTTCTTTTAAACAGGGCAGATTATTACACCTTTCAATAAGAACGCTGTGGGGTTTGCATGTCACTTTATGATATTAAAGCATCATTGTTTAATAATAAGGTCTAAAATAAAATCTCTCTTTAAAGTCAAACTTTCAAATCTCTTCTTGAAGCAAACTGGAAGAATCTTGGCTATAAACTTACTGTTTATATACTCTTGCCTGCAACCCGGCCTCCCATTGACTCTGTTGTAGCAACGTGGTCATGCCCATTATATTTGAATGGTGAATGATGTTGCATCATCCACTCCAAAAATTTCTTATGCTGTGCACAAATACAAGACATGGCCTGAAGCTATAGATTTGAAGTTAATTTGCTTTCTACTGTGAGAGCAAATTTTCAGTTAATTTGCTTTAGTGTTTGACTGTGATGCTGCCCAAGCATAATATGGGTCAAGCTATAGCTAAATGGATTAAGGCCCATCAGGAAAAAAGGAATTAGACCAAAACTGCTTTAGAATAATGTATACCAAAGGGTATACAATAAAGTATAAAAATAAATACAAAGGGTATACAATAAAGCATAGCTCATTCACTCTCTTTGGAAGCAAGGGTTGAAAGTCCAAGCTCGTAACTGGAATTTAACTGCGGGAGGGCTCAGACAACATAGAGCTTTTCTGTTCGTACGTTATGGAAGATAAAAGAAAAAGTAAATATTGGATGCATTTCAGTTTTATTTTAAAATCTCCAGAAGAAATTATAGGTAAATCAAGCCATCTTGTCATCTGGGCAAATTGCTGACACAGAGCAAAGTCTGGGCAACGGAATAGAGTGAAAAAACCAGAAAAATATTTGGGAGTTTCATTATTCCTCCATAGCTATGTAATTCAAACAAAAAAATGGACTTTCTGTTCTCCTTTTAAACAGAAGATGAAGGTGGCAGTTATAGCTTGACCCAAGACCTGGTTTAGCTCTATTTTCACTATGGAAGTGCAAGCAATAAGGAACACTGTGGCCTTGCTTCCTGCCACAAAATCTTCTGGTGCATATACTCTTCTCTGAATTTTTCTCTGTAAGCAAATACAGTCAGGTCTAATGGCTTGGCTTATACTTGTCTCAGAGGTTCAAGCCAGCTCACTTGTTTGGTTCAAGCTTGGCTCTGCCTTCCAAACTTCCTGGCTTGCAAGAGCTTTATTTTTACAAAGACAGAAAGGCCCAATAAAGTACACAACATACAGAGTTCATAATCCTGCTTTGTACAGTATTCAATACCATGTTTGTTTCGTAGGATTTTATTTTTAAATCAAAGAAATGAAAAATGTATGGTCAACATAATAAGCTTTCAGGACACGGCAGGTGACAAGGACCAAATGTTAAATACTTCCAGTCTTTAATATGATGATCAAAATAAAACAATGGATTTAAATAACAGACTTAGCGTTTAAAAAAGTTTTCATGTGAAACTTGAAGCCATTGAAAGAATACATTCAAGCAGTCACGAAGTCAGACGTGCATACTTATCTTGGCGCACAGATATGAAAAGGGGAGAGAGTCTGGCCCACCACTTTGCTGCTACTCAAATTCTAAATCCTACCTCAGGGCCTTGTAGATCCCTTTTCCTTAGGAAATTCTTTAGTGAACTTTTCTTTCAGTTAGCAAATCACAGGTACCAGCACCCACACACATAACACCTGTATGACCTATGCAATGTTTTTTATATTGAAATGAACAATGTTAAGAAATGTTACGGCACAAATATTACCATTCATTACACACAGCTTATTGACACTGAAAAAGTGAAAACAGTACAGAACTTGGCTCTATTTTTTTAGTCTCTTGTCTATGTTTTCTTTGGCTTTTTAAACTTACTATTTATTGTTTGTAATGTATGTCAGTGGGGACCAGAGCCTCTTCGTGCTGGGCTTTATGCAATCATGTAATGAAATACAGATATAAGCTTGCAGCTTGTAAATGACTCTTCTAGTTGCTGAAATAGCAGATACGGCAAAGTCACAGTGATTTAATGTATATTTGTTCAAGCTGTAAATTGTTATTTTGTTCTAAACACTTCTCACACCTTTATATGAGAGCGTATGACCTTTTGTCATAGTCCTTCTGTGCCTCATTTCTCCAGTGGTGGCTCCTGGTCAGGAGAAACTATAGACTCCAACTTCACAAAGTCTTCTCCCTTTTGAAAATCAGACCACTTTCAGCACGTTTGTGGGGGCTTGGTGGTAGAGGATCTTCTGCAGCTGTCAGTTAGCGTTGCTTCAGTGGCTTGAGTGAAGTTATCCTTTACTCCACCTGAGGGTCTGATTCTGGAAGTATGTAGTATCTAACAGCATGCAGTATGCCTACCTGTGGAATAAAGAGCTAGACAGACACAAGTGTGCCAATATTTTGTGCCTACCAGAAGTCAAGGGCCAAGTCTGAGTACTGCTGAGCCCAAGGTAGCGTATCTTGATATGGGCTCCTAGGAGAACTGGTTGAAGTTCTGGCTAGGAGGTCTGGCTTGCAGTATGAGGCTTCACTGGTATCTGACTGCAAAAGCAGTATAGTTGTGCTTCAGGTTACTCTTGCTTGGTTATATATTCAAATTATACTGTTCCAGTTTTCTTTTGGAAATTATGCACGGGCACCTACACACATGAGGAAACACTGCCATCTTACTTCTTAAAGAATCAGAAAAAAACAATAAATTGAGAGACTCATGTTAGTCTAGTCTTGTTCAAGGTTCCTACTTATTATGGCTTTTTAGGGAAGAAAATTTCTAATGAATGACAAACAACTGTTCCCCCACTAACTCCGTGAGTCCTAGATGGGTGTTTCATGAGCTTCAAGCTGTGAAGGCTCAAGGGATACTTCTGAAACATTAAGCCTGTGCTGGACACCTGCAATCTCAGTTTATCCTATCAGGTCATGATTTCCTCCATTTTGAAGAAAATACACATCATTTTAAAGATGGTCCGAAATCCCTTTGAGGTATGAAATCTATTTTAAAATAAACATAGAAGTTTCATCTTCACCTCTTAGACACCACCTAATCCTGGCCATATTATTATGGCTTCATTCACTTCCTCAGGTCCAAGAAAATTTTTTAATCTGACCTCCTATTTGACCCTTTCATAATTCATAAGGTCCATGGAGTTCTGCCATGCTTGAATCCTATTCAAAACAATTTCTATTAATCAAAAAACCAATGGAAAAGATAAGATGAATCACAGATGTCCCTCGATGGTGACAGGTAGATCAGATTTCATAGGAGAAAAGAGGATCAGGCTTTTTAAAGTTTACTTAGTGGGTGAAATGTAAAAGATCATATCTAGGCTTCAATAGGTGGAAACAGTCGAGGAACCTTAAAACAGCTTGTGATACATATGCTTGCATATTTGCAGAGGCCGAGAATGATTTACTGTACCTGGAGCTTTTCCTATGTGCAAAAAAATGACTAACAACTTGACTAGTCTGTGCAGCATCTGACAGAACAGTTTACTGAACCAGTTTCATGAAGTATGTACTGTATTTCAGCTGCTCATATTTCTTTGCTGAGAAAGAA